CATGAATGACAAGAATGACATGAATGATGAATGAATGACATGAATGATGAATGAATGAATGAATGAATGAATGAAACAACAACTGAAATGAATGAAAGGAATGACAGTAATGAATGACAGGAATGAAAGGAATGAAATGAATCAAATGAATGAAATGAATCAAATGAATGAAATGTATGAAATAAATGAAATGAACAGCATGAATGGAATGAATGGAATGAATGGAATCAAAAGAATGAATTGAATGAAGTGATGAATGAATGGGTGGATGGATGCATGAATGAATGAAAGAATGAATGAAATGAATGAATGGATGACATGAATGAAATGAATGAAATGAATGAACTGAATGAAATGAATGAACTGAAATGAACAGCATGAAATGAATGAAATGAATGAAAGAAAAAATGAAATGAATAAAATGAATACAATGAATGAAATGAATTGATTGATTGCTTGATTGAATGAATGAATGAATGGATGACTGACTAAATAACATGAATGAAGGAATGAATGAATGAATGACTAAATAACATGAATGACATGAATGAATGAATGAATGAATGCATGCATGCATGCATGCATGCATGAATGAATGAATGAGTGAATGAATGAATGACTGAATGATTGAATGACTGAATGACTGAATGACTGAATGGAATGGAATGGAATGAAATGAATGAATGAGTGAATGTGAGTGAGTGAGTGAGTGAGTGAATGAAAAGAAATGAATAAATGAATAACTCACTCAATGAATGACTGAATGGAATGAAATGGAATAGAATGAAATGAAATGAACTGAATGAAATGAATGAATAAATGACTGAATGAATGAATAAATCAATGACTGAATGGAATGAAAGAATGATTGATTGAATGAATGAATGAATGAATGACTGAATGCAATGGAATGGAATGGAATGTAATGAAGAAATGACATGAAATGAGTGAATGAATGAATGAATGAATGAATGGATGAATGAATGAATGAATGAATGACATGAATGACATGAATGACATGGATGACATGGATGACATGGAATGAAATGAATGTATCAATCAAAGAATGAATGCATGAAATACTGATTGAATGAATGACTGGCATAACTAATCTATTTTTTCAGGTTTTGATAAAATTTAATTCGGTAAGTTCATAAAATCATGAATTCCCAGACTTCCAAACCACCAACCCAAACCGCCAGGTAAGCACAACCTGATAATATAGTATGATATAATAATATCATCTAATCTAATCTAATCTAATCCAATCTAATCTAATCTAATCTAATCTAATATAATATGATAATATAATATAATATGATATAATATAATATAATATATATAATATAATATAATATATAATATATAGATATATGTAATATTATGATTTACATCGTATGTAACCAACACTAGTTGGGATATTAGCTGAAATTGCTTAAAATTCCTTAAGCTGAATGAAGATAATATAGTAGAACATAACATAACATGATATGATATAATATAATATAATGTAATGTAATATAATATGATATAATATAATATAATATAATATAATATAATATAATATATATATATACACAATGTAATGTAATATAGTAATATATATATATATAATCATGTAATAATGTATGTAACCAACACTAGTTGGGATATTAACTGAATGAAGATATTAGCAAGAGGAATTTCGGGTATCTGGCAGTGTCTCGAGGCGACATGATGATCTCCATGGTTGAGAAGTGCTTCCGCAACCCCGATCCCATGGCCAAGCCGAAAATCCTGGACACCGAGGGGGCCAGGGATATCTTATGGTATATTTGAAACAGACTAGAATACACCAAGGGCTATATATTTCACCAAGGGATATAATGGAGTATATCACCAACTTCTGTGGGCCTGACATTTTTTTGCTGGAAGTGTACAGCCCTGTTTCGGACATCCCAGTGGAGCCAGGATTTCGATTTGAACCATTGGAACTTGAGCGATTTCTTCAAAGCCAGACACATAAGCTGGCTTACTGTTGCTTAGTAGGGAATGGATGGATTATTTCTTGAATATGATAGGATTATTGATAGTTACCAATAATAATCCCATTCATTCTCATTACTATAGATTATGATTAGTAACTATCCATAATTACTATGGATTACTATGGATTACTATGGATTCATTCTCATTACCATGGATTGATTACATTGGATTACTATGGATTACTATGGATTTCTATGGATTATTCCCTCCCCTAGGAAGCACAAGTGCCAGCTGGTTTCCAGCGACGCCAGGATTTGATCACCGTGCCGGGCGAGACCGCTGGGACCACCATGACGATGTACGAGCTGATCGTGTCCTGACGAAAAAACGGCCAGGTCTGGCCCAACACGTGCCGGTCTGGTACCTGGTTTGGTATACTATATATATATGATATATGTATGTATCTGTATATATATATATATATCTGTATATGTGTATATATGTAGATATGTATATATGTAGATATGTATATATGTATACAGTATATGTATCTGGTAAATTAACAGTTCGACCCTGGCAGTCATCGGGGATTGGAAGATTCGTTTCCATTAAAACGAGACTATTTTCAGGGTCTGTGTTAATTTACCAGAGGGTACTATATATCTATCTATCTATCTATCTATCTATCTATCTATCTATCTATCTTTATATCTATACATATGTATATATATATATACATAATATGTGTAATTTTTCCAGTTGAAGGGGATGGTCATCAATCCATATATATATATATAAAATACATATCTATTATACATATATATATATAAAATACATATCTATTATACATGTATTAATTGGAAATCCCTAATTTTGGTGGGATGACCAAAATTACCAATGAATCCCATTTAACGGCTGACCAGTGCATCGAGGGCAAAGGCTGATTTTCCACGGGGGAAGCAACATATCGTAGGGTACGAAACATTGCAGTGAATTATAGTTCCCTCATTTTACCCTCTGGTAAACTAACACAACTATAAATGGTCATTTTCAATAGCTATGTTTGTTTACCAGAGGGTAGCATCAAGGCATTTTTCGAAGACGGATTTTTCCCTTTCACGTCATTTGGGACCCCGGTCCCACTTGTAGAACCCAGCGTGAAGGTGCACGTCCCCAGCCGCCGACACAACAAAAATAGATTCTGCCATTGACAGATGCTTCTTCGCGTTTGGGGATCCAGCCCATGAAAATCCTCAATGAGACCCATCCTTCATAGAGTCTGGCATTCCATATGAGAAGTTTTTCACTCCACAAGAATTGGTCAAGTATCATGTGAGCAAACCACATCAAAACTAGGTCCTTCACCAGACTTCAGAACTTGGTCCGATTCGAGGTGAATCAAACACAGCAATCGAGCCTTGGCAGAAGCTGGGACCTGGGAGTGCGAAGGTCAACTGGGGTAGAAACCCATGGGGCCCCATTCCCTGTTGGTGCAAATAACATCAAATAACTAAGTGCACTATGGGTTGTGGTCAAAAATTTTCTATGCCCATAAAACACCATTGTGAATGAGGCTTATAAACCAACGAACTGAAGGGAAAATCACTAGCTTCACGATGCTTTCTGCCACCTGTTGTGACCTTCGGGTCCCAGCTGCCGCAGGGTCAACGCGCAGTTCGACGCCCTCACACAGCAGTTGAGCACTGGAATCTCGGACGGTTTGCGACGAGTTTTTCGTGCCCTGAAGTCGTTTTTTTAAAGGGAAACGAAGCAAACGTTCAACATGAGGATATCCATAGTTTAAAATCTGGAAGATGAATTTCCATGGTCTAATGAGTCTACTGGTTTGTGTCTCGTGAATGAACTTTTAGTTGAGGCTTCGGGCAACCCCTTGGGGTAGGTTAATAGCTTCTTACTTATATTATATTACAATAATATATATATATATGATGAGTTATATATGGATAATGTGGGTCTATCTAATCTAATGTAATCTAATCTAATCTAATCTAATCAAAATGTAAATCTAAATCTAATCCAATCTATCGATCTATCTATCTATGGATATATGTATATATCTATACCCTCTGGATATATTCTATACATCACGTATCATTCCCTTCAGCCATCTATGGGCAATGGGGGGAACCGTTAAGGCTTAGATTGGAGATATTCGCCCATGGGATCATCCCACTTGGGGACTTCCCATGAACCAAGGCAGGGTTAACCACTTCCTTTAAGGGTGATGATACCCATAGCAGCCATAGCACTTACGAACAAAGGTTAGTAACCACTTACCAGGGTCACCAAGCAATCCCATTGGTTTCCTCATCTCCGAGCGACCCCAGCCGACCTTAGGAGATGCGTCGCTCGGACGGATGACTGGTTTCTGGTGCTTTGGGATTCATCGACCTCTTTGTTTCAGAATGAGTTCCATGAAGAATCTGTTTTAATCTGGGAACAATCATAATCATAATGATTTCCATGATGATTTCCATAATGATTTCCATAATGACCTCTGGGTTTTTAATTTTTATGATTTCCATGAAGAAAATAGGAAACATCGCCAGTTTAAACCATGGATTTTGAGGGATTGAGAATTTTGACATCTTGAATCCGCCATGTTGTTGAGCTTTGCAGATCGGCTGACATGTTCGCCAAGTTCGGATGGGGTGAACCAGAAATGTTGCGCCAGAGTTTGGAGGATTCATGGAACAAACTCAGATCTTGGGCGAAATCAACTGGATCGAAAAATCCTGGGCCTAGCCTAGCTTTGCTTTGAGAAGTTGTCGCTTGATTTCGGAGAACATCATATTTTGGAAACGTAGTTGATCGGCCGGATCCCCATTCCCAGTGGATTTTTTGTGTTTTTTGATGCAAATCAAGACCACATATTTGGTCTTTAAATAGATAGCCACAAGAAGATAGAAGAGTAAAATGAGTCGAATTCCACAACGGGAATAGATTTCCAAACTTTTCCCCTTTTTTGGGGATTACTTTCCACTCAAAAATGCAACCTGAGATAACCTGAGGACGCTGTGGAACGATGCGTCTCCAGTGAAGCAGCTCGCGGACACGCTAACGCATCTTGACGAAGGGCATGCGGCTTGGGATTTTTTGAACTTCCGGGTTAGCTTGGAAAAATGATCCCATTCATAGAGAAAGATGGGGGTCTTGGTGGTTAAGTGGGTGTTTGTTTTATTCCAATGATGGTATTTTCATGTATTTTCAAAGAACTTGATTAATTATAGGGGTTTGTGACCGTGATGGATCAAATATGATACCACATTCGAGAGGAGACGCATCCATAAAAACTACACATTTCAGATGTTTTTTTTTCAAAAAACACACATATTTCCAGTATATGTTGCTCGATTTTTATGTTCACCAAGATAACAGGGCTGGGACCCATCATCCCATCGCATTTATTTGTTCGAAGTGAAGATGGGGACTTTCACCTAGGCTTGAAATCACCTTGGTGGAGAATCGAAAACATGTCAATTATATATATATATATATTAACATAATATGAATAAGATATAATACAATATAGTATAATAATATATATGTATATATTTTATAACATAATATAATATAATATAATATAATATCATATATATAATATCATATATATAATATAATATAATACAATATAATATAATATAATATAATAATATAATATAATAATATAATATAATACAATATAATATAATATAATACAAAATAATATAATATAATATATAATATAATATAATAATATAATATAATACAATATAATATAATATATAATATAATAATATAATATAATACAATATAATATAATATAATATATAATATAATATATAATATAATATAATATAATGAAATATAATATAATAATATAATATAATATAATACAATATAATATAATATATTAATATAATATAATACAATATAATATATAATATAATGTAATATAATATAATATAATACAATACATAATATAAAATATATAATATATAATATATAATATAGTATAATATAATAATATAATATAATATAATACAATATAATATAATATAATATTTAATATATAATATAATATTTAATATATAATATAATATATAATATATAATATAATACAACATAATATAATATAATAATATAATATAATATAATATGATATGATATGATATAATATAATATAATATAATATAATATATAATACAATATGATATAATGTAATATAGTATAATATAATATAGTAATATAATATAATATAATATAATGTAATAAAATACACTGTAATATAATGTAATATAATGTATTATATATCATATATATATATACATATCCATACATATGTATATAGTATTTTCCAAGGCTCAAAGATGGGTCCCAATGGTTTCCAGAAAAGAACATGCTATATCATTTTCCAGTAAGCCATCCAATTTTGGGCTGGTTCCTGGTTTTGAGCCCATTTCCATGCCCAGATAGGGATGGTTCATGATCATTTTCCCGATGAACGTTGCCATGTGTTGGGCCTCAAAAACCCATTGCTGGGCAATCCCATGTATAATATTGTTGGCTTGATGATACATTTTATATATACACTACGTAAACATACATACCCTCTGGTAATTTAACGTAGCTATTGAAAATGGCCATTAATAGTGGATTTTCCCATTAAAAATGGATAAACATGGTGATTTTCCATAGCTATGTTAGTTTACCAGAGGGTATTTATTCCATGCTGTCTCATGATATCTTTGCAAAACGTGGTTTAAACCTTGATGGTTTTCCATCCCCCCGTTTTTGGCCGGCTTGTTAACTCTAAAATTGGGAGGTGTCATCCCGAATTTTTGTTGATTCCATAGCCATAAAATTTTGTGGGTCAAAAGTCTGGGAGCCAAACGGTACCGTGAAAAAGCTGGTGGATGGTTATTCCCCCAGTCATATGGTAATAGTAGGTTTTGACCCCCAAGAAAACCATGAAAAAACCATGAAAAAACCATGAAAAAACCACTCAGAAAACCATCGGATAACCATGGGAGCCAGGATAACCAACTCCCGCACCAGGGCTACCCCTTTGTCTTCAATGCTGCTGCCGGATGCCCAAAAACTCGCGGACGACCCCACGAAGTATGGAGTTGCTGGGCTGGAGACATTTCTTGGCGATGTTTAAGTGGTGATTAATTCAAAATTGGTTATAATAGAACGATATTATAGCAAGTCCAAAAAAGATAGAAAAGTACACCCCGACTGAAATAGTGATAATCCACGTTTCTATCTTTTTGGGGACGACTATATCTACATAATGATCTAACATGTAATTTAGATTTTCCAGCAGTCTACTACCTGTTCAATGGTCATTTCCAGATTTTTTGTCAGCAAACATGTGGTTTTTTAGGGCTTCAAACAACAAAAGCTAAAGATACCATGGGATACGGTGGAATATATACATATATAACCAGCTGATTTTCATTCATAGGAAGTCGGTGGTTTCGTTTTATCTATTTGTTCCCTTCAATTCTGGCAGCGAGGTTTTTTTTTGGATGTTTTTTATTTCCCGTTTTGAAAGATTTTGGTGGGTGAATTCTTCAATTTTTGTTGCTTCAAACATTCATTTTGATGGGTTTTGATGGGTCATGAAGTTGGATCCACCCCAAATTGTGCTCTTTTTTTTTGTGTTTTTGGTGGGTTTCTACTGAAAAGCGACTCAAATCTATTCTTCCTAACGCCTCAAATCTTTGACAATGGCCGGGTACTTCTAGGATCAAGGCTTCAAGTTAAGACGTCTCGTGCGGATGAAGGGCCGTGTTTTTGCGAGGCTCTGGCTGGTTCAGCCTTGGATGCTTATTTGCTCTCCGGTGGATCCTGTTCCTCGGTCGCGACTGAAAAAAAACTGGGTGAAAGATTGAACACGCCACACACTACATTTATAAGTGGGCAAATATAAGAGAAAAACATCTGTGAATGAAGACTTCACGTAGAAAATGAAGGTTTTGCTCAAATGAGGGGGTTTGATTGCCAATTAATTCTCGGCATTGGCCGAAGGAAAAGCAAATAAGGGAGCGGCTTTCATGGAAGAAATGTGGCTTCCGGTAAAGATTTATCATTCCATCAATCCATTGATTACAATTTCTCGCAAATTGTCAATCGTAACTGGTTGGTGTTTCTTCGGTCAGTTCACCCATGAATTAGGGACCTTTACACATTCATTACTTCGGAGGGACACTATGTTTTTTTCAAAAACATCATTTTTTTTTCTGTGGATTTGAACGGACATTGTTCCCATATTTGACCCATATAAACACACAGACACATAGATAAACATATAATATACAGATAAACATATAATATACCCTCTGGTTATTTAACATAGCCATGGGAAATGGCCCATTTATAGATGGTTTACCTGGGTTTACCTATTAAACATGGTAATTTTCCATGCCTATGTTAAATAACCAGATGGTACACATATATATATATTAACTACATATATCATATAAACTACATATGCTATGAAGACCCCATGGTTTCAGCCTGGAGGCGCCTCCCTGGCCATTGCCTCGGATGCGGGCTTTGGGGCAAACCTGGATGGCGAGACCATCGAGGGCGTCAGTAACTTCGAAGCTTGGAGGGGTGAAGGAGCCTTTTTTTTTTTGGAAGGGGGGGGGGGTTCTATGGGATTTTCGGGATTTTCGGGATTTTCTATGGGATTTTTCTCTAGGGGGGTTCCCAGAAGCTGATTTCGTTGACTTTTTTTTGGGGAATTTTGGGATTGGAGTTTCGGTGTAGCCTTGTTCCATGCTTTCGTTGCTGGTCTTTTGAATGTTGTCATTCAATGGCGATTAACGTCCACCTTGGATTCATATATATACTGTATATATATATATATTGATAGATAGGTTGATGGATTAAGAGGCTTCCCCCCAAGGAGTGATACCAACCAGGTTGTTTTTTCGTCCAACTTCCACGTGACATGATACTAACATAGCTACTGCAAAAATTGGGGTGGTGTGGTAAACCCAGTAACAAACCATTCCTAATATCACCACAAATCGGTTGAATTTCTATCATCCCCAATTTTTTTTTGGCATTGGGTTTACCACATTGCACTGCTTTAAAGCCTCACTTTCCACCAGTGTAGTATTCATTCGAACTCTGATGATCCAGCTGAAATAATGCAATTCGTTACAATCCAATAACAATAGTAAAAATCATCAATACATTTGAGTCCATAATTTAAAGCTACAATCCAACAAATTCCACACATCAAATTACTTTACTTCGTGTGATCCCCACCATGACATTTATACATGTTCTTACTGGCACATCTTCTGGCATTCTATCTGACATATCTTCTGACATTCTATTTGGCATTCTATCTGGCATATCTTCTGGCATTCTATCTGGCAAATCTTCTGGCATTCTATCTGGCATATCTTCTGGCATTCTATCTGACATATCTTCTGGCATTCTATCTGGCATTCTATCTGGCATATCTTCTGGCATATCTTCTGGCATTCTATCTGGCATTCTATCTGGCATTCTATCTGGCATATCTTCTGGAATATCTTCTGGCATATCTATCTGGCATATCTTCTGGCATATTTTCTGGCATTCTACCTGGCAAATCTTCTGGCACTCTATCTGACATTTTATCTTCCTACATGAGGTCCGGCAGGGAACACTTGGCGTGGATACTCGCGGTTGAGGTCAGGGAACACTGGGCGGGGATACTCGCGGTTGAGGTCCGGCAGGGAACACTGGGCGGTGATGGTCGTGGTTGAGGTCCGGCAGGGCACACTGAACGTGGATGGTCGTGGTTGAGGTCCGACAGAGAACACTGTGGATCGCGAGTCGCAGTTGAGCAGGAGGACGAGGAGGACAACGAGAGGAGGAGGACAACGAGAGGAGGAGGAGGAGGCGGAGGACGAGGAGGAGGAGGACGAGGAGGAGGAGGAGGACCAGGCAACTGACATAAAATCTAACAACCCTCACCTGGCAGGTGGGGAAAAACACCTGGCAAAAAAAAAACCATGGATCATCGATGATATTTTGAGAACCATCCCCTGCCCAAACATTCCAGGTTAGTGAATTCTTTTGATTTACCCAGACGAAGAATCCATGACAAACCAATTAATAATAATCCATTAACAATCCATTGAATAAGATCCATCAATCATATCATATAATCCATTAACAATCCATTGATAATCCATGATTAATCCATGAATAACCCATTATTAACCCATTATCAATCCATTATTAGTCAAAAGCCATTATCAACCCATTATTAATCCATGAATAAGCCATTCTTCACCCGTTATTCATCCATTATGAACCCATTACTCATCCATGATTCGTGGATGATCCACCTGACCCTGGCCATCTCAGGGCAGTGCCCTCCGCGGCCTCACTGGCTCTGTTCCGGACGCGGGATCTGACACCACCTGTACGCCTGCTACCGGGAAGGTGGGCGACGTTTCGTGGGGCCGGCGACGTTTGCGATGGAAAACTAAGAGTTTGCGAGGTTTGCTATGGAACATCACCATTTTTAATGGATAAATCAACAATTTCTAGGGCCTTCACGGGAAAATGATGATTAGCCTCTAGTAAAGATACAAAAAGCTATTGAACATGGCCATAGAAATAGTTGATTTAGCTGTTGAAACTCTGATTTCTTGAAAATATGTAAACGTTTATCAGAGGGTACTGTTAAGATGATCATTAAGGTGATTGATAGTAATTACCACTTCAATAACACTAATAGTAAATGATAGTATGCTCATGATTCCACAACCATCATCATAGCAGCTGTCATGATTGATAGTACTACTTTAGAGTACTTTGGTATGATCATGGTTGTTGGCTTATCGTTTGTTACTGTTATTTTTGATATAGTAATAATTGTCATAGTAATACAGTACCTAGTGTTGTTAGTATGATTACCATTATAAGTTGTTACCACAGCGTGATGATTATGACGACGAGAAAGAGGAGGAGGAGGAGGACGACGACGATTGTTATTATCGTTCTCATTTTTCTTATCATTATTTGTTATTGCAACTATACCATGATAATTGCTTTTATTATCGCTAGTATCATCATGTTTATGATTAATGCTTATGATTAATGATGATCATTATTATTATGTTTGTTCTTGTTATTTTGATCACTGTTGCCAGTATTGTTTTTGTTGTTTTGTCCTTTTGTTGTCTTGTTTTTTTTTGCTGTTGTTACTGCCATTGTTGTCATTGTTGTCATTATATAATCTTATCAATGTTATTATTGTTACTATTGTTATTGTTGCCACTATTGTTATCATTATTATTGCACTACTGTTACGATGATTATTCATTATTGTTATTATTACTATTGTTATTATTTTAGATATGTTGTCAACCCATTTAACTATTTGAATAATGGAAGGATTTCATACAAAAGACATGGGATTGTGAACAAGCGAACAATTATATAAGATCAATTTTGAGGAGGGAAGTTTGACTCAATTAGCTAATGATTTGTCACAGCAACCATAGGGAACTCCAACTTCAGCGAGCGATTCGCAAGCAAAAACATATTGTTTTCCAGAACCCCTCTTCTGCTGCATGTGGAAGACGATTTGCCCAAATGGCATTTTTTTTTGGGGCGGGGTCCATTTTCCATGAGACAGACTTCTTGGGTGCAACAGCTTGCTGTTTGCAGGCAACATGCACAACTGTGCCTTGGCTACATCACCATTTTTCCAAGCGAGGCTCGACCACGATTCCCCAAGCTGGGTAACCAGGGCCTATCTTTCAAGATATTCTTGTGTGGTTATATCCCAGATCCAATTTTATCCCCGTATTGGTGATATTGTCCAAATATGCCACATATCTCCAATATATCCCCACTATATCCCCACTACATGCCCAAATTTTAATGGTAATTTGATAGTTTCAACTGGTTTCAACGGTTGAACTTTAAGATTTCCACTTTTTTTTTACAACCAAAAACGCGCATGGCGCCGAGGCAGACCCAGTCTGTGAAGCTGGCAACAATTTGATGGATTTGAA